ATTTTCTATACAAAATATGAGAAATTTATTAAATTCTTTATCAAATTATTTATCATTTCATTCAATTATTCTTAAATATTCATTAAATGATATTATTATATTAAATAGTTCACAATTATCAAAATTAATTCATCCATCAATATCAGTTCTTATTATTGATTTAAATACAATGACTACAACAGATTGTCATCCTATGTTAGATAAGGTAACTAATCATTTTCTAACTGTTTAAGAAGACCCCCTCCCCCCTTTCCGGACCCAAACTTTTCATTTTTTGTTCTTTCTGCTCTACATATGCTTTCAAGTGCCCTCTATCCACTGGTGACGTTTTGAAAGCTCAAATATAGCTCTAAAGCAAAAATAAAATCGAAAAGATAAATCGATTGCCGTAGGAGTGTATAGCACGATTTTTTCTTTCTTTCGTGGTTTCCTAGAAATCCGATTGAACTGAAATTTTTTTTACAGATAGCAGAGACACTTTAGGGTGGCTACTTTTTTTTGTTTTGAAAGATATTGTACCGCTAAGTTTTGATAGGTCTTACAAGACAAGCACTATTCAAAAAAACATGCGTTTTTTTAGGGTGCTCGTCGTATTTTGGCTTTTTTATTCGAACGGTACGAGATAGAAAAAAAGCCAAAAAAAAGGTAGTCCTCCTAGAGTGTCTCTACTATCTGTTAAAAAAATTTCAGTCCAATCGGATTTACTATGCCTGAGAAACGGGAGCGATTTGGGGGTCGATTTTTAGCCATTGTGACCTCAATATCACTTAAAAAGAAGCATTTGAGAATTTTGCATCTATGACAACTTTTACTCTACACATCGAGATCTATCAGCTGTGAAAGTTTGAAAATTTTCTGATGATCCGTTCTCGAAAAACTCCGGAAAAGGGGAGGAGTCCCCTTAAGCATATCTGTATGTAAAACACCAAGAGAGAAACAAGGCTACTATACACTCAAAATAACATTAGGTAAAAAAATAAATTACTTTAATCGAATAATATAGATATTCTTTGTGTACTTATTCATACCTAAAAACTATATCTCACAAGTGTACTAAGACATAATAGATATTATTCATTTCTATAAAATAATACTAATTGCCTCAAACCGTGGTAGGAGTAAGAATGAGAATAAGTATATGTGTGCAGGATACTGAGGTTTGATAACTCGTTGCTTTGCTCTCCATTATGGCTTGTGGCAAACACTATGTAATGTATACTAAGAAAAACAAAACAAAGGTTAACTTAAATAACATAACATACACATGTAGAATAAGAGATGTATTGCGTTTTAGCGTACACTGTTCGATTCTACAGATCTGATATCTATGATATCAATAGAAATATTTAATTTTGATTGCAACCATATATTTTATGCTCTTATAAATTTAGATTCGCGATCATCTCTCTTGGATCGATACTCGACAAAATCAACAAATCGATTTTGATAATGAAACAAATGAAGAATGGTCGAATTTAATTCAATCATTAAATCATACAACTGTTTTTGGTTATATTCTTGGATATCCATTTATTTATTTTTATTCATCAACATTACTATTGAATGTGACTACATTAAGAAATTTTCGTTTATATATTAAAATAAATGATTATAATAATGAAATTTTACTTTATTCATTTTCATGTCCTATTCATTCAAATATAGATCAAAAACAAATTGAATCTACTATAAATAATTTCTTTTCATTATTATCTATAAAAATGAATTCAAATCCGATGATAAAAAGTTATCATCTAGATAATCAAATTAAAGAACAATCAACCTGGTGTCTCTGAGATTCTTTTATATTTTCTGCTTTTGAATTTTAATCCATTATTAAACAAAAAGAATCATAGCTTGTAATCGATATTTCGACAATTAAAGACTATAAAAAAGATCACAATGAAAGCAAAGTAAACATTTTTTTTTTATAGTAATTTATAATCAAAACATACTTTTAATGTAGGACATATTATGAAAAATGGAAAGATCTATCGATAACAGTCTTCAATACTACTTACAACAGAACATAGGCCTCACAATCGGTCAGATCTTGAACAAAATATTAAAAATTTTCAAAAGATGTTGCGTATTTTCAATAAATTTGATTTTTTTAAAAACTCTCATGTAATTCTACCATTGGCTAATACCGGATGTCCCAAAATGATTGCACACTTTTTATTTTGCATCTATCTCAACATAGATAAATGACAAAAACCTTGATTTTTTTTTCAAAAGATGCGCCGTGAAAAGCTCTACAAAAATGATGATAACAAATTTCTAATAACATATGCCAATGATATTTCTTATACTACAAATAAAACCCCTGTTTTTTATGCTACTTCCCATCATAATAACGAGCGAGACCGACTAAAAGGCCGCGCTTTGTATTTCAAATTTCAATCACTTTATACGCTGTATTAAGGAAAACAAAATACACTACAAGACGCTGCTTGGAAAGCTCTACAATTTATATAAGACTGCTTAATTTATAGTTACACTTTTTGCTCTCAAAATAGGCCAAGGTTTTGGCTATCAAATTACGATCCTGCGAACAAGATCATTTAGTGGTACACAACAAATTCCTTTTCTTATTTCTTTGGTTAATAAGTCATATCGAAAGCCGTAATCGATGGCCAAGTTTAGACCCGTCGATACGTACTCCAATTATGTTTCCTTATTCATTCTATCTACGTAATAACACATTACAACTGTATAGATGTTGACGCATAGAATTGTGTCCATTTTGAGAACAAAAAGTGTAACTATAAATTAAGCAGTCTTATATAAATTGTAGAGCTTTTCAAGCAGCGTCTTGTAGTGTATTTTGTTTTCCTTAATACAGCGTATAAAGTGATTGAAATTTGAAATACAAAGCGCGGCCTTTTAGTCGGTCTCGCTCGTTATTATGATGGGAAGTAGCATAAAAAACAGGAGTTTTATTTGGAGTATAAGAAATATCATTGGCATATGTTATTAGAAATTTGTTATCATCATTTTTGTAGAGCTTTTCACGGCGCATCTTTTGGAAAAAAATCAAGGTTTTTGTCATTTATCTATGTTGAGATAGATGCAAAATAAAAAGTGTGCAATCATTTTGGGACACCTGGTATTTGACATTACACCCATTAAAATGGTCGATTCACTAATTGAACCATATAATGCATATGGTAAATAAATATTGTATAAGGTTGATAAAACCATTGCTATCTTCCCGAATTTCAATCCTAAATTATAATATTCACGTAACTCAACATGTAATTTTGGATAATCGATGACTAATTGAGAACAATTTGACCGCAGAACTTTTGCATTATTTTCGATCGATCATGTCCAATTGAATTCAAAGAAACCATAATTCGCTTCAATACTGCTGAATTTGCGGCTAAATTCTCACGCCAAAAAGTAGCGAATACTACTATAAATGTCATTACGTTTAAGGAAGGTTATATTCATATTTAAATAATAACTTTATCTCTTCCTTTTTTTCAATCAACAATTATAATTTATTAAATCAAAATCAAAATCAAATATATATTTTGATAATTTATTAATAAAATATAAATAAATACAATAAATTAGATCTAAAAAAACATTCAAAATAAATATATTCACTGACGTTTCGAACGTTGACAACGTTCTTCAACAGAGTAGAAATTATACAATATTACGTTTTTTAATTATTTCTTTAATCTTTTTTGATTCTTTATATATAACATTATTCCATCCATCATCTATTGAGTCACATTT